CAAGGCTTAAAAATCTTGGAGTTCATGTCAGCGAATGGATTTATCCTTCTTAATGGTCGCACTCCTAGTGATCATCCTGGGGGCTACACGTTTAGGAACGCTCTGGGCAAGAGCACAGTCGACCTCATCTGGATTAATGTCCTTAGCATTAGCTATGTCAAGGACATGAGAATAGAATATATCATCACCAACTCGGACCACCTACCTGTCTCAGTTATTCTAAACTCCACTAACCATAATAAAAACTCCACGCTGACCACCTGTAACACTTCGTCACCCAAACTATATTGGAACCCTCTAACTGCAGACATCTACCGTGCAACTCTATGCTGGTCCACTTCAATAGCTCAAAATTTCGCTTCTACCTCAGTCAACGATCTTTCCTGTATCTTCAGGGAATCAATAGTAAATGCAGCTCGCTCAGCAAAAATGATTATCAACAAAACAGGTACAGCACCACCTTCAACACATAAGCCTTGGTACGATATCGAATGCAAGAATAAAAAACTAGAGACCGCTCATTACCTTCACCTCTGCAAAAACTTGGGTCAAAACTCGACACTTTGGTCGCTCTACCTAGAGAAGAAGAAAGAGTACTACTTACTACTCCAAACTAAAGCCAAACAGTACCGAGAAGACTTAACAAATCGGTTTAACCATGCTACGAGCCCAACAGACTTTTGGAAGCTAGTCAAACTATTTAAAAGACGTTCATCTCCAGCTAACAACATTCCTCTAGACATCTGGCACAATTACTTCTCCAACTCCTTTCCTCCAAAAACGACCAATCTCATTGAATTACCACAACTCGTTCATAACACCCTTGATCAAGAAATCACTCTAGATGAACTACTCAATAGCATCAATAAAAGTAAACGAGGCAAAGCTCCGGGATTGGACTCCATCAGCAACGACTTTCTTAAAGAAATGCCCGAAAACTGGTATCTCTTCACACTAGCTTTTTTCAACAAAATTTTCGAGTCCGAATCCATCCCTGATGATTGGGCCCAAGTAGTCATGTTCATGCTGTTTAAAAAAGGAGACAACCATGACCCAGACAATTATAGAGGAATAGCGTTAATTAATTCTCTAACCAAGATCTTTACACAGATATTGCACGATCGTCTCAGGCAGTGGGCGACAACCCAACACCTGATTCCTGAAGAACAAGCTGGATCCTGCGTTGGTAAGGGCACGGCAGACAATGTATTCATCCTGCAAGCAGTACTCCAAATGCAACTTCGCTTTCCTGGCGCTACCGCGTATGCGCTTTTTATAGACTTTAAGAAAGCCTTCGATAAAGTCCCGCATTACAAACTATGGACGAAACTAGCTGAGATGAGAGTGAGTAGCAAATTCATTAGGATTCTGAAGGATTTCTACGATAAAGCATCAATGTACATCCGTTCTGGCGCTACTCTATCTAAACCAATCGAGGTGACTGAGGGGGTTCTTCAGGGTGACGTTCTCAGTCCCCTGCTCTTCATCCTCTACCTTGCAGACATAGTAGAGTTCTTTAAATCCCGAGGAGCTGAGGGCCTTTGTTTGGACACCGTCACGCAAGTTGCAATGTTGTTGTTCGCTGACGACATAGTAATCGTAGCACATTCAGCTAACCAACTCAGGCTGGTTCTTAGAATTTTGGAGGACTACTGTGAACTCAATGATTTAACAGTCAACACCAGCAAGACCAAAATAATGGCCTGCAGAACCTCGGGCAGACTGAAGAAGGTTGACCGCAACTTCATCTTTAAAAATGAGCGCATCGAAATCGTCAAATCCTACACCTACCTGGGAGTACCATTCACAAGCAACCTTCAGGGTGGCTTAGCCGCTGCTGAAGCGACAAGAAAGAGTAACCAGGCGACGGGCACAGTCTATTCTATTCTTTCTCAACTCAAGGCGGAAACTTGGTCCAGTAAAGTCAAACTCTATAACAGCATAGTGAAAACATCTCTATTATATCTTGTACATATCTGGGGACTTCAAGAGGAATCGTACGAAAAACTAGAGACAGCCCATTGTTCCTTTTTTAAGAGAATTATGCATCTCCCAAGCTGCACCCCACACTATGTGCTCCGCTTAGAACTAAACTTGTCCCACGTCGCCTTGGAAGTGCTGAAGCTATCTTACAACTGGACAATCAAAGTCCTAGAAATGGAGGACACCCGTCTACCCAAAATTGCCCTAATCCGTTTGCTTAGTCTCTCTGAGAACTTCAATACACCAAGATTTAACTGGGTCATCCAACTGCAAAAATTGCTCAGTATTATAAACGAAGAGCACATGCTCTACTCTTTATCTGCTCAGCATTGGAAATGTAATAAAACGAGAATCCTTGAAAAATTCCGCTTGCATCTGAAACTTCAGGACCTACATAGATACGCCAACTCCAGATCTTGCCAAGCTCCTATCCCTAGGACAATCAATGACGGGACACCTGATTATTTGCTGAGAAATGAGTTTCACATGTTGATAACTAAACTACAACTAAGAACAGCCAACAGACATTCCTGCTATATATCTACAAAGCAATGTACCATTAAATTGAGACCTACAAGGCAGTGCCGTTTTTGCCACAATTTAGTCCATGAAACGATAGCACATTTTCTTTTGGAGTGTCCATTATTTACTGCCCCGCGCTTGCAGCATTTCCTCATCTCAAAGGACAACAGCGACACTCTTAATCTGCTAATTATCCTAGATGATCATTCTACATCCGGCACTAAAAATTTATACAATTATCTTACCGCCTGCGCGAACCTCATATCCCAGAACAACATTCAACTTTGAACAGCAGTAGTGTTATTCCCCAGCCTTAATCACCGGCCCCGTATTCTTAATATATTTATTGTATATTTTTATATATTTTTTTTTTATTTTTATATATATATAACCTTATGAATTTTTCTGTTTCCAACTATTGATAAATTTGTAAATTCTTTGTAAAATTTTATCATTCTCTTATGTAATTATTGTTGTTACTTAATTATCTAACGACCAATCGTCAGTGTATCAAAGATATGTATCTTATAAAAGCACTTAAAATAAATAAATAAATATATATATATATATAGAGGGAAACCCCTCTCCTTTTTTTTAGAGGGTGATTTTTTAACATTTTTATGTAGTAATAGTCCAATTATAAATTATTTAAATGATCTAAACTAAAACATTATACCTCTATTAGATATTAAATCGTTTTTTAAAGTGATATTAAATTTTTTTCCCCTCCGGGCGTAAAGCGGCAACTTTAGCCCCGCTGAGCTAATGGAAGTTGCCGCTTTTCGCCTTCATCGGGGAAAAAAATAGTATACACTCCTCAGGAATATACTGTGAATATATTTATACGTTAAATTAAATAACAATATGCAACCTTTAAACAATAAAAGAACAGTAAAAAAAATTCTAGTTTGAAGTTTTCATATCTCCCCTGGATGTCGTGTCTTTCCCCTGGCCTTTAGAAGACAGGGGAGATACATTTTAGTAACAAAAACAGAAGTAATGACAAATGTATTTATTGTACGCGATTAACCAAGAAAACTTAGAACCTATACACAACAAGAAGTAAATATACAGATGAATTAAAATTTTTAGATAAATATTTTTAGAATAAAATTTACCAGGGGAGAGACTCCTTTCACTCGTTCTTAACTGTATCCAAAGAGTGTCAGTAATGAAATAAATAACAAAATGACTGCGCACCTAATTCGACTGGCACTGACTACAAAGTATAAGCTCAACGACGTTTGTTTAAGGTCTTCAATTCCCGCGAATTGGTAAACAAATGCCGATTTTACATGAAAATAACCATGCCAGGGGACGAGACGCAAAATGTGGGGGACAAACTTAAACATAATTTTTTTTAAGAAAAAAAAATATCATGCAATTTTACTCGCTTGATTACGAGAAATTATTTAATTTATTTTGTTGAAATATATAATTTAAATAATCTATTTGATTTCTAAGCACTTTAAATTACTAATACATAAACAGAATCAGCCCGGGGACAAGCCAGGGGAGAGATGTTTTCGGACTTTGAGATGAAATTGTGACTAAATTAAATAAAATTAAGAAATGAATTTGAGTGACCACTTACATGAGCACGAGTTTTAAGAGATAATTACATTTTTTTTAATAAATTTTTTTAAAAAAGATGATTTTTCACCGTGGACGTCGAATTTACGTCTTAACTGAGAATGACCCATATATCTATAGACTAAAAAGCCGCTCTCACATTCCCGGGAAAAAATGATCAGATCTGATCAGATATGAACAGGCATGAGTCTTCAGGTCTGATCAGGTCTGAGCGTATTTAACACTTCAGACATGAACAGGCATGGACAGGTCTGATCAGGTCTGAGCGTATTTAACGGTTCAGACATGAACAGGCATGGACAGGTCTGATCAGGTCTAATTTCAGACCTGATCATATATGAACAAGCCTGATCAGATATGAACATGTCTGATCAGTCCTGATCATTTTTTCCCGGGTTGTCTATAAATTATAAGCGATCAAAAAAAAAGCTAATTAAAAATTTTTGTTTTCTTAGAAACTATTTGTTGACGTTTTCAGTGTTAATAAATAAAAAGTAAAGCGTAAAATAACTACAATTTTTTTTTTCAACCCCATCTGACTAATAGATTATAAGTTATGAACAATACCGTTTTGCGCCAATTTCGGCTAAATTTGATAAACAAATGATTGGGTTTGCTTAAAAATGATCGAATCACTTTGAAATTTTTACTGTCTATTCCGGAGACAAAAATGGACATTTTGATATTGGATAAGAATTTATAACGAAAAAATTTGATTTTTCAGGGTGAAAAATGTATTTTGATTTTGAAGCTCCATATCTCACGACTTAACTATTTTATCTGATTTTATTAGGACTTGAAAATCCAGAGAAATATTCCCAAACATTTACATATTATGGAAATATTAATCCTTTAACTATAAAGTTATAGAGAGTTTTGTGAGAGAGTAATTTTCGATAAGTTCAGTACAGTAGAGTTCGTATCGATACCTGCACAAATTAGATTTTTAAAATTAAAAAATTACAGGCGAGATGAGTTCACGTATCATGGAATATGAATAATAAATCAACAAGGAGATAATACTTGAGACTTACTTGAAATGAATAATTATTGTGGACAATACTGACTTCAACCTTCTGTTGAAGAATTGAAAAACGTTCCAGAGCTGTCATATTGATTTTTTTTTGTCTTTCATTGTAAGAATCATGAGTTAATTTATTATAGAGCGTTGAATAAGATTGATTTAGTATTTTTGCACCAACGATTTCCATATCGTGAGGTAGTTTTCTCAATTTAAAATTTTCTATATAATAATTAGTGACTGCGCTTTTAAGTCGTTTCAAATAGAAATCATTGTTGTCAGTAGTTTCGAAAAGTTTCATATTATTCAGAATTTCTTCACATTGAAAAGATTTGAAATAATTGGCACATTCTATAATTTGCTCTATGAACGAATGAGGAATATCATTTTTTCGAATCATTGCTAAAGTGATACCAGTTTCATAATATTTTTTTAAAATATTCAAGTAAGATTTAATTTCCTCCCGTCCTCTAAAAGATAAACAAATTAAGTAAATTTCAGAATTCCCAGGTTTACTAGTAGCTGGTTTTTTTATAATAATTTTTTTAAAAGAGCATGTTAAAAAATACATTAAAGATATTGTTTGGCATTCAAAAAATGTGAATATTTTTAAAAGGAGGGTTCCATTTGTACTTAATAAATGAAGTGCCGTAATAACCTCACAGAAATGTAAATGTGATACAATAGTTTCTTGTTCACCAGGCATATCCATGCAGTCCACACTACCGTCGGCCGTTATGAGCATTATTTTATCACTATTATCTTTTTCAAGGTCAATGAGCATATCTAAATTCTTAATATTCATTATATCTCCGGTATTATCAGTTCCAAAATACCAACAATCCAAGGTATGAAGAATAAATCGATCATCATTAATCATCGAACACAAAGAATTTCCCTCATAATATGGATTCAGAGTAGTTGCTCTCCAATTCCATTTAATGTATGGTACATTAGTTTTCAACCAATGATTAAGAGATGTCACAAAAGCGCCTGGTGCTTCACATAAATGAATAGTTTTAAGTTGTTTTGTATGATTCACTTCCTCAGGTATTAAAGGAAAGGTTGAAGCTATTTCATAAAATTTACACCAAGCTTGAGTAAATAATTCAGGATTAATATCTTCTTTTAATCTCCACCTAATATGTTCAGCGATATTCATTTTCCTTGTATGATTTCTCCACTCAGCTGGATTATAATCGCTCAAGGTATTCTTTATTTCATTTAATTTAATTTTTGTTTTCTGTAAGTCATCTATGCTCCAAGTGTTCTCGGAAAACATATCATTTGGATTCGGTAATTCATAATTATTATTAGTTATTTCAATTTGTTTGTGAAACAATTTTTTTACAGTAATATCGATTTTTTTAATGAATTTATCAGGTTTTTTGCGAGTTTGAAATTGGCGCGAAGATTTAAAAGAAGTTGGTAACTGGTAATCACAGTGATTATCTGAGTTGTCCATGGTGTATTTATTTCGGTCGATTTCCAATTTTATCTGAAATGATTAGAAATGTTAGAAAAACAAGAGAAATATAAATTAAATAATAACTTACTTGTAAAAATTTTGGCTTCTAATAAAAAACTAGAAATAATTTTTTTTCTTAAGCTAACACTTTTTAATAAGATGAGTCAGAGTTTGATATATTTTGTTGTATGGTGTAGATGTTATATTTAGTGATATTTATTTAACGATTAACTTTTAATAAACATTATTTATATTTGAAACATATATATCAATGACAGCTAAAATTTTAAGGTTATGTCTATGGTTCATATACATTTCAAAAAGTTGAATGGGCAGACTCCAAGCTCCACGTGTTATGCTTCCATCTAGGGGATGTTATTTTTATTTATTGAAAACTTTACTTACTGTAGTTCTTTCGCCCGGGAGTATTAAAATACTCGGTTTCAGCGCGGGAAAGGAATAATTTTAAATAAAAGAATTCTATTTAGACGTTATTTAATTTTGATGAAAATTATTTAGTTGGTTTTAATTTATTATTCAAGTTGACAAAATATTAAAAAGCTTCAAAATATAAAATTGAGGTTTACAATGACGT